ACGAGACTTCCTTAAAAAGTGAGCCGCGGAAGTCTCCAGAACGAGCGCTTTGTACGAGACTTCCTTAAAAAGTGAGCCACGGAAGTCTCCAGAACGAGCGTTTTGTACGAGACTTCCTTCAAAAGTGAGCCGCGGAAGTCTCCAGAACGAGCGTTTTGTACGAGACTTCCTCACGTTTTGTACGAGACTTCCTTAAAAAGTGAGCCGCGGAAGTCTCCAGAACGAGCGTTTTGTACGAGACTTCCTTCAAAAGTGAGCCGCGCAAGTCTAGAGAGAGAGAGACAGAGAGAGAGAGAGAGAGAGAGAAAACGGGCTTCGGCTTCTTTGGGGTCTCTTTTGGTTTTGCTTCGGGCTTCGGCTTTACGTTTTCTTTAGTCTTAGCTTCGGGCTTCACTTCTTCAGGATGTCTTTGGGTTTGACTCAGGGCTTCACTTCTCGAGGATCTGTTTTTGTTTTGCTTAGGGTTTCGCTCCTTTAGGTTTTCTTTTGCTTCTTTAGGATGTTTTTGTGCTGGAATTAGGCCTTCACGTGAGGGCTCCTTTAGGATGTCTTGGGTTTCACTTAGGGATTCACTTCTTTAGGGTCTCTGGTTGGTTGGGCTTAGGGCTTTGCTGCTTTAGGATGTCTTTCGTTTTCACTTAGGGCTTCACTTCTTTAGGATGTCTTTGGGTTTGACTCAGGGATTCACTTCTTTAGGGCCTGGTTTGGTTTTGCTTAGGGCTTCCCTCCATTAGGATGTCTTGGGTTTCAAATAGGGCTGCGCTTCTTTAGGGTTGCTGGCTGGTTTGCCATAGGACTTTGCTGTTTTAGGATGTCTTTGGTTGTGACTTAGAGCTTTACTTCTTGAGGGTCTCTTTTGGCCTGCCTTATCGCTTCACTTCTTTAGGATGTCTTTGCCCAAAATTCAACAGCATCTCTTGCTCAACATTTTGTGTTTTGTGCACATGGTCGTGATAATGATGTGCTTTGGCGAAGCTGGGTTTGGTTTTGCTCAGGGCTTTGCTCTTTTAGGGTTTCGTTTGGTTTGCCTTAGGGGCTTGCTTCTTTAAGATGTTTTTGGGGTGGCATTAGGGCTTCAGTGGAGAGGGGCTTAGGGCTTCACTTCTTTAGTCTTTTGTCTTTTGCTTCAGGCTTCACTCCTTTAGGGTTTCATGTGGTTGGGCTTCCGGCTTTGCGTCTCTAGGATGTCTTTGGGTCGAATGAGCCTTTACTTCTTTGGGGTCTCTTTTGGTTTTGCTTCAGGCCTCGCTCCTTTAGGGTTTCTTTGGTCTTAGCTTAGGGCTTCACTTCTTGAGGATGTCTTTGGATTTGACTCAGGGCTTCACTTCTTGAAGATCTGTTTTTTTGCTTAGGGTTTCGATCCTTTAGGTTTTCTTTTGCTTCTTTAGGATGTCTTTGGTTTGGGTTTAGGCCTTCACGTGAGGGCTCCTTTGGGATGTCTTGGGTTTCACTTAGGGCTTCACTTCTTCAGGGTGGTTGGTTTGCCTTAGGGCTTTGCTCTTTAGGATGTCTTTCGTTTTCACTTAGGGCTTCACTTCTTTAGGATGTCTGTGGGTTTGAATCAAGGCTTCACTTCTTTAGGGTTTGGTTTGGTTTTGCTTAGGGTTTCGCTCCTGTAGGGCCACTGTTTCTTTTGGCCTGGCGTAGGGCCTTGCCTCTTTAGGATGTCTGTGGGTTAGACTTCGGCCTTCACCACCACCCCCTCAAAACAAGAACGCTTCTCAGAAACCAGTCCCCAGAAACCACTTCCCAGAAACCACGTCCCACAAATCACTTCTCAAAAACCACTGCCCAGAAACCACTTCCCAGAAACCACTTCCCAGAAACCACTTCCCAGAAACCACTTCCCAGAAACCACACCACTTCCCAGAAACCACTTCCCAGAAACCAGACCAGCCCCCAGAAACCACTCCCCAGAAACCACTTCCCAGAAACCACTTCCCAGAAACCACTTCCTAGGTTCCAAAACGAGACGAATCTAGGTTCCAAAACGAGACGAATCCAGGTTCCAAAACGAGGCGTCGGCCCTGGGATGTCAAACCGCCCGCGCGGGTGGACAAATTGGACTGGGAGTGTGCGTGTGTGTGTGTGTGTGTGTGTGTGCCTTTCCTCGGAATTGGTTGGGATGTAGGTTTAAGCCCCTGAGGATCCCGGTTCTGCAAAACAAACCACCTATAGAGATGTCAAGGGGTCACTGGGGTCACTTTGCCCTTTGTTCTTAGTAGCGATGCCCATAGCTCCTAGAAGTAAGGCCAGGTTCGCCCGTTCGTAGCGTCCGAACGCTCCGTTCGTAGCGATGCCAGGTTCGCCCCGTTCGTAGCGAACCTTGTTCTTATAGACTCAGAACCTAAATCGGTTTGCTAATTTGGGTCGTTTCTCTTCATTTTCATTTGCATGTGCACTCACTTCTGGCTGACGGTCCTCCACCCCCACAGCTCGATTGGGTGCCCACGGTAGCTTCGAGCGTGTGGACGGTCCTCGACGAAGCCATAGCAGTCCGGGGACTCCAGCTCAACTCCCATGTCCATCGCAATGATCCACCGTCCCTCGTACCTCGATCGATGTCTCGTGGCGAGGGGACCGGGACGGGTGGGACCGGGAAAAGGGGATGAACACGTTCTTAGGTTGAAGGCCATCGCTCGTAGAAGCAAAGAAAAAAAATAAAGAAAGGACTACAGTATTCATATGTCAATTTCCTATTGGGTTGGAGGCGTTTACTTTCCTTCCTTTCGGGTGAAACGGTTGGTGTCGTGAGGGTGTCAACCAATGGGTATCCTTCTCGTCTAGGTAGAATGGAAGGTGTGGCATCAAAAACGAGGAGGGGAGACCATGGGACGCCCAAAAGGGAACACTTGGGAAAGTCTTTGGAAAGAAACCTGTGACAATGACGACAGCTCGATTCAGGGCTACTGAAGGCTTTGTAGGCAAAGTGGTGGCTTACTGATTGTGCATTTTTCTTTGAGGCGCTATGAGTCATGATCTTCTTGAAGATCTAATGTGACATGTAAACCCTAATGGCTAGAGTTCGTTGGGGATGGACGTGGACCGTACCAGTCCAATCCATACATCTCTCCATGAACCGAACATCGCATCTCTCCATCCTGGTCAACCGATGGTCACTGGAACAGCTTCTCCGGGGTCGGTTCGACTCCAGCGCCAAACTCCTGCGACGACACCCAACGACGGCACTTGACTGTAGATCGGTTTTCAAGTGCTTTCTTCTTGTACAGTATAATAGGGAAGAAAGCAAGGAAGGACAAAAGTCAGGTCTAAGTCTAAAGGGTTGTTGTATGTGTGTTTTGTTTTTCCCATTCCCTCTTTGGAAGATGAACTTGGAGCTTTCGTGTCTTGGACTGCATGGGAACATTGGCACATTGGCATCATCACAGTGGCGAGTGAAGGCCCTTCGCACTCCCCAAGGAGAGCTATCAAACCGGTGCAGGGAACACCCGTTTGCAAAGATAGAGTTCTGCAGACTTGGGGTTTAATCTGTCAGTCAACTATGTCAAAATACCAAAATGCCACGGAGACCTTGCGTATAATTGGAGTGTGAATTGTGAACACTTAATTACATCAAGTTTCATCCATTCAAGGTGGAGGAACACCCACCAATTCAGGGGACCAGCCTGGCTCGAGTGAACTGATCTACTTTTGGCCAGAACCTCAAGAAGAGACGACGCTTCACCCTATCTTGATCGGCGTTCTCTGCGGACCGGTGGATCCTTCGTCGCTCCGCCGAGAACGCCGCGAAATCAACGGAGATCGTCCTCCAGCGATGCATCTTGACCATCGGACAATGAGGCTTCCTTGCGTTGGAAGTAGAGATACCTGAGACGTGGGGGGTCGATACCTGAGACATGTCTTATTTAACCAACATCTAGTCATCTAATAGTCATGTCATATCTAAAAGCTGCAGGGATGACCTGCAGGTCTTACAGATCTAAAAGCTGCAAGAACTGATAAGGCTCGGCAAAACCCTGTGGCCTACATCCCAAACAGGAAACAGCGTCAGCATAATGAGTACAACTGCAAGGGTACTTACCTGTACAGGATTTGGTCTAGATTTTGACCCACAGTCCATCATGTTTCACTTAATTCGTACACTTAATTCGTACTACTATGTACTACTTATAATAACTATCAACCCATGACCCTTTCAAACCCATCAACGCCCACACAGCGCCGCACCCTTCCGAAACTCTCCGGTTCTCTCCGGTCACTCCTCTGGCACCCCCGGCTGGCCGCCACCTTCGTACTCGTAGACTGGGCGCCCGAAGAGCGTCATGGGAATCCTGCGGCGATTTTCCGCGGCGGCGGAAGCTCCGTGGGCGGCGCCAAAAGAAAGCAGAAGGATGAAGGAAGGACCAAGAAGGACTTCTGTCCAAGAACGACTTTGCCATCCACATGTCGTTTGAGACTCTCACTTCAATGTTCACGCCTCAACATCAAGCCCACGCCGATCTTCCCCAGGTGATCCGAGTTCCCAGTGACCTCGCAGGATTGCGATCGAAACGACGTCCAAAATGGTCGGAGATCCCAGAAAGAACCACCCGACCTCCTCCTAGCTCGAAGGACTGATTGAGACCCAGCAACTATTGATGTCATAGTTGATATCCACACCTGGACCAATCCTGTCTGAGTGCCCTGGCTGAAGATCCCTAAGTGGCCGGGTAGTCTAGCCATAGGACACCCAGACAGGATGGTCCATAGGACACCCATTGGAATAATTATATTGGATTTGTAGATAACACATGATTTTTTTTTGCACTTCAGAAGCCGTTGGTCTAGCCAGTAGCCTGTTGCACATAATTAATGGTAGATAAACCATGATAAAACATGATATCACCACTTTGGATGGTCCCGACATGTCCCAACAGCCCACTTGGAGTGCCGAAAAAGACCGCGCCTGGAAACCGACGATACTCTTGGCCTCGATCTTATCCACTGGAGCAGGTGGACCCATTAAACTCCTGCGGGACCCTCGGTGTTTTGGCCTCCCAGGCATTCCACTGGAGAAGACAAACACGTACAAAATCTGAGTTGCCACAAGATTTCAAGGGACGTGCTTGGAATGGAACATTGAGGAAAGAAGCGCACTCCCTGAGATGGACAGGTTGCACCAAAGGCGATTTGAAGCTGGGGAGCGCCCCGGGCTGCTCGATCGAACACGGGAACATGACGTTCAATTGAAAAACACCCAAGGCATCTTTTATGAGCTTCGCACACTGCAACTTACTCAAGCATCATCACAAAATTCAGCATCCCGTCACTTTCTGCGAGGTCTCCGAAGGCCTACTTTCATCTACTTTCTACAGAAGCTCCGGAAAAACACCCCTGTTCCAGATTCGGTCCTCAAGCTGAAGCCCTTCTCCTCGTCTTCATCCTCTTCCTGGTAGCAATCCCGAACCGTTCCCGGCAAACAACCCCCTCTCGGTCGGTCGGCAGGTGTCAACCGCTCTCGTGCGCTTGAAGGCTTTGGATACTATAAGGGGAGAAACCGCGCACCATCTTTCACGGCAGTTCGCGTGCAAATTTGAAGTTTCCCCTGTAAGGGAGCCGAGGATCATTCGACAAAACTTGAGCGAACTCCACCAGTCAACTGAACCATCTTGAGCATGTAGGAGATCTCCGGGATGTGCCGTTGGGTGCTCCAGGACGTGTCACGTCACCAAACGTTTTCTTTCACGTCACCAAAGTTCCCGCGCTGTTCGGGCGCTCAGAAGGCGGCCTTGATTTCCTCTCCATGTGCCAGTAAGGCGCCAGAGTAGCCATGCCACACATACCTGGTGAAGCAGGATCCACGGACGATTCGACGATTCTGCTGGATGCGCTATCCGTGCCTGCTCTTGTTGAACACGTTGCAACAAGCAACATTAGTTAGCAGCCTTCATGAAAGATGAAAGACATGTATGAGGTCATACAATATGAGGGTCATGCTATATATGCTAAGGGAGGGAGACCACAACAAACATATAGTTTCTTTGCATCCTTGGTCCTCTTGCCCATTGCGTTGCAATTTTTCCAGCGTCGTCACGTGTCGCTGACCCCGTCCGTGCGTCTCATCCAACACTGCCGGCGCACCAGGGCTTGGACACCATCGAGGGGTGCCTGGGCGATGGTTCCGCAGGATTTGACGGTCATGAATGAGAGAGAGAGAGAATATCTGTGAACGGGACCATGCCCTCTTGCGCAGGGGCAGCTGCCAAGCATATTCTCAACGGAAACAAAGCTCGTTCAAAAAACTGCTCCATGTCCTGTTGGTTCTTCAAACCCACACGTCCAGTGGCTCCCGACTCAGTGTGCTCCTCTTGAGCAAAAGCACAGCCAGGTGCCAAGCAAACGCCCACCAGCGGCCTGGGGCGGTTTCGCCAGTGCAATGACACCATACAGACAGGAATGACATGTGAAGCTTGGTCTCTGTGACAGAAACCTGAAGTGAGTGCAAAGGGTCTTCTACTTAAGTGTGATCCTGTTTGAACGTACTAGTATGCCTGTCTTTATTTTCCACACAGGTTGAGGTGGATGGTGTGATTTAATGCTTGATTCCAGGAGCAGTTTTTCGCTCAACCGTTGTGGAGAAAACACGGTGGACAATGGTCAAGTTCAGAATCTATGTATTTTGTTTTATGCTTCTTGAGGTGCATTCAAAGAAGGCACCCACCGAACCACCCTGCCAAAGGCATTCATTAGGCATTCATTTCTGACCTCCAAAAACCAACAAACTTCGTGCGGATACAAGACAATGGGAACATGGCAAACATTACATGGGACTTGGCATCGATGCTTTGAATGATTCTGGAATTGGCTCATACCATTAGAGCCAACCCTCTCAGGCTGAAAGCGATGAAAAGGAGCCTGCTCCAATCCCTTCCTCAATCAACTTAACCTCGAAGAATAGAATGCAAACCTTGATTACACTTATTGTGGATTTCACTCCATGCAATCAGGTTGGAACAGCTTTTGACCATTCCGGTTGCTGTTTGGCTACCCTGCGCCCATGCAGGGGCCCCTTGAACCTCGTTCATGCTACGCCATAGGCAAAAGACACGCCTCACTGTTTTTCACGCTTTCCATCTCGACACTTCGTGCGGTCGCGATACAACACGAGTTTCCACATCCGTGTTTTCATATTGGTAGCGGAGCCTCCTCACAGGAGGGGGCTCCAGCACCGCGATGGCTTCGTCGCCGACCCGCCGCGGAACCTCACGCGACGCGAATGGCGGCAGCTCCTCCGCGAATGCTGGCAAGGATCTGAAGGACAATTTCGTGCCCCGCTTCGACAACACGACCACGACCTATGCTGAATGGCGGAGGCGAGTGACCTTGTACGCCCGGAAGCTTGAGCTTCAAGGGCGGAAGAGCGAAATCGCCCTCAACGTCCTCTCAGTCCTTGAAGGTCCATCCTGGACCCAATGTGAAGATTTGGATCTCCAGGAGCTGGAGAAAGAATCTGGCCTCGACATCCTTCTCAAGCGCCTGGACCGCCAATGGGCGTATGACGCCAAGGTCGAAATGCCGACCAACTTCGAGCAGTTCTTCTTCAAGCTGCGGCGCAAGAAGGACCAGTCGATCCTGGAGTACACCACCGAGTTCCACCAGACCCTCAGGCAGGTCTCAAAGCACAAAGTTGATCTTCCTGAAGAGATCACCGGCTGGATGATGTTGAAGAGAGCCGGACTGACCAAGGAACAAGAGCAGCTCATCCAGACCAACATCGGCTCGACCCTCACGCTTCCAGCTGTCGAGCAGGCTCTCTACCTGATCCTCGGCCAAGATCATCGCCATGTACACCTTCCTGCACACCTGAGGAAGCCACAGCTCCCCGGCCGATGGAAGAGGCAGAGCCAAGTCTTCTGGGAGGAGGACTATGAGCTGGATGAGAACTATGAGAATGAAGAGACCTACTTCCAGGATGCCATCGACCCCGACGACTTCCAGGAGACCATGGGAGAATGGGACGACCCAGAGCCCGATGACACCTTCTACTACGATGAAGCTCAAGAAGAGCTGGACTCCATGTTTGACACTCAGGAGTTCGATGACATCTACAGCACCTACGTCGATGCCAAGAACCGCCTCAACCAGCTCAGACAAAGCCGTGGCTTTTACCCCGTCGTGGCAGTGGTTGATGGGGGAAAGGGTCAAGCACCTCTGATGGCCCAAGGTTCCGGAAAAGGCAAATCCAAGAGCCCTGGCAAGTCAAAGAGCTCTTCCAAAGGAAAAGGCTCAAAGCCCGGAAAAGGGCCTAGCGGCAAGCAGAGAGCTCGCTCAGCTATGGTATGCCTTCGTTGCGGAAAGTCTGGCCACTTCGCAGCAAATTGTTCGACGGCAGGTGCACAGTCAAGCTCACCAAAGAAGCGACCTGCAGATGATGACACAATGGTCCACATGGTCCTCAGCATTGAAGAGTTCTATGATGCTGAGGAGGGCTACGACTATGAGAATGAGATCTTCTATGACCCTGAAGAGGCCTACGCCCAAGGGGAAGCTTTGGTTCGTGCCGGCGGCTGGCTCACGCCGGATCCTGACGCTTGCATTCAGGACCAAGGAGCATCATCATTCCTGGCTGGCAGTGAATACATCCTGCGCTACCTCAAGTGGCTGGTCAAAATGGATGATCGAGCTACCAACACGTCTGGCTGACGTTGGCGGCAAGATCCAAGCCTATGTGATCTACGGTGCCACTCCCATGTTGTTTGGCCGACCCTTGCTTGAAGCCCTCCATGCCGAGATTGACTTTGGCCGCTCTCGGATGCGCATGCTTGATCAGGAGACCTGGCGGGATATCCCTCGTGGCCGTCAGGGAGCAATGCTGCTTCGCCTCGCTGAAGGGGTGACACGCCCTGAGGACTTCTTCCCCGAGACCTTCGATCTTCGATGTGAAGATGATCGCAACAATGGCCTCAAGCTGAATGACTTCTTGGACGACCTCAACGCCCACGAACGTTTCTTCGAGATGACCACTGAAGTGCACGCCTACTTTCAGGCATGTGAAAAGGGTGAAACTGATGAGACAACCTACATGGAGGTCGACCAGGAGAACATGACCGACCTACTACCTGGTGAAACAAGCAAAACGATTGAACAGTTGGAAAAGACCCTCACCATGTTTGAGCACCAGCTGGCCGAACACCAGAAGACACTTCAACAAGAAGTACATCATGCCCGGGAACATGGCCTTTCTCACCGCAAGCGGCTGATCTGGGAAGTCTATGCCGGAGAAGGCCGCATCACTCAACTCCTTCAAGCTCATGGCGATGTGGAGGTGATGCGCTTCGGATTCGAAGATGGATGGGACTTCAACAGAGCCGCACATCGAAAAGCTCTTCTACGCTTATGCGATGAGCTTGAGCCTGACGAGATCTACATGTCACCCAGTTGCACTCTCTGGTCGAGGATGCAGCAGATCAATGTGCAAAATGAGGCTCAAGCTGAAGATCTTCAAGAACGCCGTGAAGTGGACCGGCGAACCCATCTGACCATGTGCGAGAAGCTATATTACAAGCAGGTGAGAAGAGGAGACCACGCCCACATCGAGCACCCTCACCTGAGTCTAGCTTGGGAGACGCCTCAACTCCGACATCTTCCCGGACATCAAGCGATCTTCGACCAATGTGCCTACGGAGCAGTTGCCGAAGCCGATGACGGTTCATTCCTGCCCATCAAGAAGACTACCAAACTGCAGACCACAAAATGGGCAATGTTCAATCTGATGTCCAAAAGGTGCGATGGACAACATGCTCATCAACGCCTCGAAGGACGGAACAGGTGCAAGAAGGCTGAAAACTACCAGACAGAGCTAGCAACAGCACTTGCTCGTGGACTACTTCTTCATGAAGGCCTCAATGAGCAAGTCTACACCGTCCACAATGAAGATGACAAAGCTCTCACTGGTGTCCTTCGCAAACTCGGAAAAGTCCATGGCAGTGAAGCAGTCCGCATTGCCTACCGACTTCATCGGAATCTTGGTCATCCTCGCAAAGATGTTCTTCTCAAGATGCTCAAGGAGCGAGGATGCAATGAGGCAATTCAAGCGGCAGTTCAAGACCTTCACTGTCCGTACTGCGAGATCCACTCCGTCAAGAAGGGCAACGCACCTGGCCATCTGGACAGACCCACCGAGTTCAACGCCCAGGTTCAAGCAGATGTTTTGTGGTTGGAGATGGACGAGATTGGCATGCTCCTTGAAGCTGGTCAACGCAAGCAGCGCACCAAGCGCATTGCTGTGCTCATCATGGTGGACGTTGCCACTCGATACATGGCAGCTCGCACAGTCCCAGATGAAAAGGGCATCTCTCTTCAAAAGGCCCTTGAACGAGCCTGGATCCAGTTCCATGGACCTCCGAAACAGCTCTACGTCGATGAGGGAACTGGATGGGCTTCAGACTCCACAGCTACATGGTGTGAACAGCACGACATCGAGCTTCGCATATCACCTGGCCAAGCTCACACTCGCACCAGCATCGTTGAGCGCAGACATCAACTGGTTCGGAAGGCAGTCTCCATCTTCATGCTGGAGCACGAACTAAAAGGCCTTGACGGAGTTCAACAGGCTTTATCATGGGTGGTTCCCTCGGTCAACTCCAACACCTTCGTGAACGGCTTCACTCCGTCCCAGCTTGCATTAGGCCGAGAACCTTCAATGCCCGGACTCCTTTCTGATGAACGTACTGGACCACTACAACTTCAGATGTCCGAGCAGGAGCGACTTCACAGACGCCTCACTTTGAAGTTCTCAGCCCAGCAGGCTTGTGGCGAGGCTGAAATTGATGTCAAGTTGCGCCGAGCGCTCCTTCGCAGGTACACTGGCCGTGATGAAGACCTTCATCCTGGAGAACGATGTCTGTACTGGCGAGATGCTGCTGATCGAGCACACACCATTCGCTGGAAAGGTCCTGCGATCGTTCTGGCCATCGAGAGAAACCCTGACACTGGCACCGTGTCCTGCTATTGGTTGGCTCATGGAACCGTTCTTCTCCGTGCCAGCACCCAGCACGTTCGCAAGTTAGTCAATGACACTGGCACCATCGACGGTTCAGCTCGAGTTCAACAGGCTCTACGAGACCTACGACAGCGGCGAGCAGTTCGCATTGTTGACCTTCGACGCTCCAACAAGCGCTCCATCGATGAGGTTGACCCTGAGATAAGTGACCTGGAGTACACTCCCACCGACACCGAAGCTCAACCATCTACAATGGCTTCTCCCGGACAACCTGATGGACAACAACAGCCCGCTTCGGAGCACGCTGCTCGATCCGCACCCTCACGACCTCGACATGAAGAGCCTCAACGAGAGCCACCTGATTCACTTCCTCCAACTCAGGAAGCAACCGAGGATCAACCGGAACAAGATC